CGTGTATACGCACGCACATCATGGATGCGACAAAATGACAACTACCGAAACGTCACGGTTTTCCGGGATGTATTCATAATCATTTTTCGCATGCACCGTTGACCGATACATGTTCGTTGAAAATCGAGCCCGGTAGCTTTTTATTTCACCTCGAATCAGTAGCTACTCCACGCCGTGCAGTGTCGTGCGAGAAAATTGTGTCCGATCGACTGAACAATAACGGATTGACTTTAGGTCGAACCGTTTGGTATGCCTGGAGTTCATCATCGCATATTTATCGAAGTTACTACTTTGCACTGCCGCAAAGTTGATTTCATCAAACTTTTTAACTTGGGGCTACAGACTGTAATATATTCTACTATAGAACGATTTTGTATATAATGTATAAATGAGATGAACGTTTGATAGGTTTACCTGGTAAATATTGAACACTCACGTCATTGTATGTATCGGTAATTTCCATTGTAAAATGAATGTGACGCACCATCGGCCTAGCTGCTGCGCTCGGAGGTCCGTAACAAACAGTGGCGTAGCAAGGGTATGACGAACTATGCGTACGTCAGTGGCACAAAATCGTACAGAAGTTTTATTTTTATTATATTTTATAAAACGACATATTTCCATTATACTTTTTAAAATATGTAGGTCTTGTCTAGTAATACACATAACGTGAGAATTTAATGATTAAATTATAAAAATCGGACAAGCAAATTCGTATAGAACATTTTTATACAAAGAAATTATCGATGAGTTCTTAAGTTTTTAAGTGAGATAGCGAATGTTCAGTGTTTAAAATTTACACTGCAGTCATAACTTATAACTGTAAATTGTATTCTTAAAAATAATTATTATAATGAAAGGTTAAAAAAAAAAACCATCATCACTAACTTTAAATTGGTTAAAAGTCGTTTTCCACAAAAATTGTCGAGGGGCGCTAACTAGTCATCCTATGCCACTGGTCACACCATTCCCGGGGGTCCTACGCGTCTCCGTTGACCGTTCCATAGCCCAGTTTTATCTTCATCTTTTTTCATTTTCTTTATCTTCGGTTCGAGTATGGTTATAGTTGTTAGTAGTGGCGTGCCGATGTTGGTAATCGTGAGGTAGCCGCCTCTAATTTTTTTTTTTTTTTGTGGGGGGAGGGTGAGTGGGTATTGACGAAATATACTTGCTTCTGAAAATTTTTGAGTTTGCCATACGACTAATTTGTTAGGAACCTCGCGACAGCGTCGTGGGAATCGTGAGGCTTTGGGCGCGTTTTAGCCGCACGGTCAACGGCCGCGACGATGTACACGTGTAAATTACGTCGCGTGTCCCGCCAAAGGAAAGTTTTCGAACGGTAACCCTAAGTGCCCGTGGCGGTTCCAAGGGGGGTGACGAGTATACACACATCATGCGTGTGCGGAATTAGCTGACGGAAAACCGTTTACTGATGTTACGATATTTACACACCGCGTGACTGGGTGGGCTCGGGAACGTTATGAAAGAATACCGGTACCGGTCTCCTGCATCGAGCCGTTTCGTCGTCGATTGATAGAGATATTGTATTAGAAAACTTAATATGCTATTAAAGAAATGCAATTCCGATGGAAGACATCCTTAATACAGCTATATACCACGAAATAACAGATAAAAGTCAAGACACAGTTTCCTATACAGTACTACTGGGATCCTGAAATCAAAGACCGATGAACGCGTATTAAGATAGAAACATTGATTTAAAACGAACCAATATAGAATAGAGCCTTAGAGAGCCTCCCACCGGGAAGGAACCTGAAGTATGGACTATGGAAAAACTTAAAACGCCGTTTAGAGTAGAAGTAGGGAGAACAAAAAAGAACCTCATGTGATGGATGACAGGAGAAACTGCAAAATCCAAATATGGAAATATTCAAAATGACCAACATCTACTGCAATGCGGTAAAACTAACACAAATTGTAAAATATACGATCTTTTTAAAAAACCAACCGACGAAGTAATAAAACCTATCTAATATTGCCTCAAAAAAAGGATTTGAAACAGCTGACTGACACGATGAAGAAGAAGACTTAATACGCTGTTGGGCACTGTTTGTTGCTGCACGCATTCTGAAAAATAATTAAATAAATTAACGGTAACTCACTGTTTATCGCGTGGGTTCACTAATTAAAACAGTCGCCCGCAACAGTGCAGTCGTGGTAAGTCGTATAATTCGCAATCGACCTACTTGACGGCTCTCGAGAGCATGGTTTTCAAAACAATACCACCCGACCTGAAAGATAATAAATTATTTCGTTTAAGATTTTAATCGATTTTAATTCGAACGATTGATAGCTAGACATTTGAACATAAGTTAAGACTTTGGGATTTTAAAATTGGTAAATACAAAAAAGCATGAGACAAGTATCTTTCAAAAAGTGACTTGCGAATCATAAATATTTGAGTAAAAATGTTATGAAAAGGTTAATTTTTTTTTCGAGAGAGAGTACTGAAGACACGTTATTACAGCCTCCTAGACTATTTTTAAATTTATTTTAAAATAAACTCATACGAATTCTGATTTTTATCATTAAATTTATAAAAATACCATATCAAATATTGATGCAAACAATTATTACAAAATCAATATGGGGGGGGGGGGGGCTGGAGAAAATTACGTCTTAATCGACTGAGAAAAAAATAAATATCAATATTTTATTTAGATCATAATATTATAGTTTAACAAATACATAAGTTTCTATAAAACGTTCCTTAGTCTTCGAAATATTAAGTAAATTCTTATTTCGATTTTATTTGTTGTGTGATTTTATGTGTGAACTAACATAAAGTTTGTGAAATTTGAAGAAAACATGTTTTATTAAACTTTTCTCGGAAATGTAAAAGTTTTCGATCACATTTTATCGAATATAGAATAAAGTTTCTATTTTATCATAATACTAATATGAATTCTAAAAAAAAAATTATTATAGACATATAACCCGGTTAGACTATCTATTTGATTTTCATCTTTTTCACCGATATTTTATTATGATTCACTCGTTTGAAAAATGCACATTATACTATGCTCATTCAAATTAAAAAAAAAATATATCAATAATAATATAGAGTTAAACTAGAAATGGAATTTTTTATCATAATAATCGCTATTAAAATTGCATTCATGTGAATGGATTTAAAAATATTTATAATATTTTAAGAATAAAGTATAAGTGTTATTTTTATCAGGATTTCCCTATAAGAGATTTTAATTCATGTCTCAATGAAAAATGATTAACTTTTTTCTCGAGTCTATAAAATAGATTTACGTACCATTGAATCAAACATTAGAACTATTATTATTCAATGTATTTGAAGGTATAAATAATTAATGTAAGGAAAAATTAAAACCTTAAAATCAATAAGCGTAATTTGGTTTGTGGTGATCATTACTATTGTTAAACTATATGATACTAAATTATTGAGGAGTATTTTAAATTTTAATGCATTTACTGTTATATAATGAAAACGTTTTTAATTTTACGGAACATACATTTAAACGTATTTAATTAAATGTCTTATAAATTTAAATGTTTTCATGAAATTTTATTTGAATTCATTTTGATTATTATTTTTAACTATAGGTAAATAAATAATATTATCAAATATTATCGATTTTATATTAATGGATATTATTATAGTTGAAAGTAATTTTACTTCCAAAAATCTCCATCTAGGTTTTGGATTGTTAAAGTTGTGATTTTAGAATTTTGAATTGCACTAGATTTTATAATTAGTTTAAAGATTATAAGATAGTAGATTTAGTTAATAGATAATGTATAGATAAATACTATAAAATATTAATAAATATCTGATAATATGCCTTTATACCATTATTTGAATAGTGTTCATTTTAGCTACCTAGCTAAACCATAGCTATACAACGTTTGGCCTTAGGGTGCCGGGCGTCGAATTTAGTTTGTTTTGTGTTCCGTGATTTTGAGGTGTTGGTTTTTATCCCTAGATCAAGTCCCTAGGTTGTGGATAAAGATTTTTAAATACTCCTTTGTGGTTGGAGAGAAGGACGGATTACGGTGAACTCGTCCTCCGAACAGTGAACTTGCACAATAGTTGATATCGGACGGCAGTTTCCGTAATTGCAAATTGACCGTGTAAAAGGCCGACTGAGTTTCGAGCCGGGGAATCGTCCTTCGATCATAGAATTTTCTCCGAGAGCATTACCTAAAGCCCATCAGGATGATGGTTGGTCGTTCTATACCAAACCACGTCGATATGACGTTATTATTTAGACCAGACGAGCCTATTCGTGTCTTACGTTAGTCTTGGTTTCAATTTCCTTTAGGTACTTGAGGAGTTTGGGGGATGGCTGGGTGGCTGTATTAAATCGATAGATGGTGGGCTGACTTCTCGTTGTTAGCGAATATTCAATCTTTGATCACGGTATAAAAGACGAAAGGTACCTACATCGGGAAGCGTGGTTATCCAGGGCAGCATGTATCTTACATGTATTACCGCTACACTTGGTTTATCCGCAAACTGCTGTTAGATTCAACGGGGCTTACAGCGGGGTTGAATAGTTACCGGTCGATGACCATCCTTCCGGATCCGTTTAGGATCTTCACTTGCGGTACAAGAGTCGGTAGTCCGGCACTCAGCCGTGCATCCTTACGATCAAAGTCACAGACTTATCCATGGCCCGTTCCCCATCTTTGAGTCACGCCAAGCGCTTATAGAAATATGGTGAGCGATCACCCAAAAGCCGGATTACGTATTAATTTTGGTTGATATAGCTCGGATTAAAGTTGTATAAATGTTTTGTGAAATTTGCTAACTACTGGCTTCGAAGAAAAATAGAGGTAACGTAATAAATCCTTGTTTAAATGTAACTATGTCAATATTGTATTTAAATTAAGTGATCAATATTTCGCCAAAAAGCTTAGTCGTTCGAATTTTTACGATAATCCTAAGTTCACCGCATTCGGATAACGTTGATATTTGTATTTCGACTTGAATAAATACTATTATGACTGAACCCAATGTCGACGTGGTTGATACAAAGATCAAGCAAGAATCTGTAGAAGAACAGGATTCATCTGAAATGCCACCTATCGATATTAATAAACTGTCGACTACCAGTGCGGCATACAAATCTAGTGTTCAAGAGCCGTTAACGCCTTTTTCGGACGAAGCGTATGCGTGCGATCGGCAGTACGCAATTGTTCTCGCACAACTGATATCGATCACTGATCGTGAAAAAGTTTATAAATGGATCGAAAAGTATGATCACTTCCTTGGTGATTATCGTTAATAAATCTTCTATGATTGCCTGATATAATCACCATGAATGTTCAAACCTAAATTTAATTTCTTCATCAATTTTTTTAAGCCGGCGATCCATCTGCCTCCTGAGAACGTTGTTAGGTAATAATTTGGGTAGCGCGTCGCAATCGTTGATTTAATAAACATCCACGTTGGGGTGAGAGTAGGACTAATCCCCACCTTTAACCTCTTACATTATATTTGTATACAAAATATAATATAGCAAAATAAAATTAATAATAATAATAACAAAAAGTTCCTGACCGTCGTTGGATAGAAATTGGGTAGAAATGACTGCTGGTGGCTAGCGGGATGCGAGTTGGTCAGATAACTCTCATAAGTCTCCTCGCCGCTACCCTTCTTACCCGCCATGATAGAGGTACCCACTGCCAGTGCTATCTGTAGCACTCAGTATCCTCATTGGTGGTCATAACTTTGTCCATGAAACGAGGCATTGCTCTCTTGTTTAGACCGGTGGTCAGGGTGGTCATGAAAACTTTGATCCAATCTAAGTCTTAGGTTATTGACCCCCTACGCATTTTCCTCAATTTCCCTGCAATAGCGTCGTATCAACCCACTTACCTGTATACGCATTGGATGTGAACGTACAATTTTGGAACTGTTATATTATATTATTTACTATTGAGATATTTTGCACATCAATTTCAATAATTTTCGAACGAATCTTGTCCGGCATTTTACTAGAGATCTCACTGTCTGATTATTCGATCGGCGATGCACACTATTTGATTTTCGTCTTTCGTATTTTAGAAAAAAAACTCTCATATTCCACCATACAGAACTACGTAAACTAAGCGACTTTACCATCTAAAACCGTGATATGGACAACGTCCATGTGCAAACATCTAGGAATGCATTTGAAAGCGCGTCAATTCATTACTTTCCATTTTCCTTAGACTCGATACGATGAATAAATGCGACGAAATGAAAGAGGAACGGTCAGATTATTTGAGATTTTTAAACCTTTCGATGAAGTATGGCAAACTAGTGCCACCTTTCACAAAATTGCCGTCTCCGAGTCTACGTCCGCTCACCAACATCATGCCTAAGTCCGTGTACAGTCTGATATACAAAGGTAAGTACGCCACTGCCGACGATTGCAGCCTCGATGAGGACCTTGGCGACCCAACTTATGGACCACCCGATGAAGTCGTTCCCAGCTCATTTTTCGACAGGCAACCGGTACCACGAAACGGTGGTGTGGTGTACGCAGCTGCATACAGCACCAGATAAAAATCGGTGAAAACCCACACTAACCGAGTGGCACACGACCTATGACAAATATAAATATAAAAACGAAAACGATAAAAAAACGATTTTTAATTCGACTTTCAATCAGGTTGTATGCATAAAGGTGGTACTGTAAAAATATTTATGAACTGTAAATCGAAAATTTAGTGAAAAAAAAAATTGAATCCATCAAAATAATTAAAGTGCATTAATAAATCAATATTGAAAAAAAACATCACTGTATATATGGAATAGTGTTTCATAGTGGTGTTTTTTTCGTACGTTATTTTCATGGTTCTACAAATTAGGACTTATATACAACTAATTGTAATTTATTTAGATTTACGAAAGGTTATATGTGCATATAAAATCGAACTTTTTGTTTTTATGATGATGTTTTTCTGGCATCCAATAAGAAATTATCTTTTTATTACATTTTTTCTGTAACTATTACAAGTGAAATAATTTATTAATTTTCATCGATTAAGAGTTAATTTTTGAATAAATTAAAATCCGTTTGGATGTTCAATGGTACACTTTAATTTAGTTTATCGATTAACTGTTGTATGGTTTTATTGAAAAAGTGTGATGTAAAAACTACAATTAATTGTTTAAATTTTCTTTTGTATTATTTACTCCATAAATTTAAAAACTTACCATCGAGTAATATTATTTTAATTAGTAATGAAACATTAACGGACAAATAGACGAAAAATGTATTAACAAAAAATAAAAAAAAAAGATTTATTTTAAAATTAAATATCGAATAATTAAATTATATGCGAGAAAATAAATTGATGCAAGAGTATAATAAAATAACACTTAAAAATATTATTTCGACTCATAAAAAAATAATTTATCATATGCATTGAATTAAAGTTGTTAATTATTCGAATTTTAATTATATTCTTCGCTTTACTTAAATTATCCTCTTGATTAAAACGCGATTAAAACTCATTTCAACAAATATTTTCTACGAAAATTACTTTTTTTTTTTAAATGTTTTTTATCAACAAATAATATTATGTGACTAATTTAATGCGTGTTTCCAGTAAATGATATATCTCTCATAATATTATGAAATTTTATTAAAATATGTATTTCCTTAAATGCACGTAATGAATGAAGCAACGTTTACATCGTTGTCCACGGATTTGCTCAGATGCATCGCACATAGATCATGTTTACATTTGTGAAAACGAATATAACATAACTTTGATTTTCCTCATGATAGTTATATCTATTTGTATCTTATTATTTTCCAGTCTTCAATAATAGCTGAACAATACAATTATTTAAACATTTGTGAAAGTACACAGAGTACGTTTTTTAACAAAACTCAAGAATACACATAATTTTGATATTTTTTCGAATAATGGCCTTGGCCATAATATGTATAATGAACTATCACGTATAGGAAATATACATATTTGTGCGTTAGAAACAATTGATCTTAGCAAAATGTATTACTTCAACTTCACTTATCACTTATCAACTTATATATATAATCATATTTACCTATACTCCTACTTAATGCAAAAATACCGCTATAAATGAAAATAAACCATACCAATTTATTTCTATTTTTTAACACTTCCATTACAATCGACGGAAAACTTGGAAGAAATAAGTATCACATATATTAAAGTTGTTCATATTAAAAAAATTATCATTTATTAGATGTACTCAATTTTGATATAAAATAAATTAAGTCTAATTTAAATTCTAATTTTCTTCAAAGTGTATTATATTATTATTACATTAAAAAACTATTATATTTATGTATTTTATACTGACTACACTTAATGGTGCTACATAAAAAAAACACACTTAAGACGATATTATTTTAAGTTCTTAATGTAATAATTATTTGTATCCATTTTAAAAAAAACAAAAGTAAATATTAAAATAGCAGACTCCACGGTCATGTGAAATACAGAAATGAGCGGATTATACTGCTTTATTAGAATTTTTAATTTGAAACCAATGAATATACAATTGTCCTTGAAAAGTCGATTATCAGTGAAAAAGGTCGAGCGAATTAATCTATATTTCTAAATATGGTTGATAAAAAAGATGGACCGAATTTCTTAAAAATGTAGGGGACTTTCGTTGTTTAGTCAAAATTTAATACTAAAACAATTGAATTTATTTTTATTTTTATATAAAGCTCAATTGCATTTCATTAATTTATAAAATATACCAACATTGTTTGTTATGTTCAAGACTTTTTGTCAAATCAATCGAAATTTTTTAAGAAAAATATAAACATTTAAATTTTCTATAAAAAGCACAAAAAAATATTTTATAAATTAAAATATTAAATGGTAAAATAATAATTTAGTGTAAATTTCAAATGTCTTTAATTATTATTTTTTGAATTACAAAGAAAATTAATTTCTATTTTATCAAAGATCAGTATGCTGTAAATGTTTCTTTTCTTTAAATTACTTTTCGTCAGTTTTGGCGAATATTAAAAAACTGTTATGACATTTGTAATACAACTTCTTTCGGAGTACAAAATATGTAATATTTTTTATCGGAAACTTTTTATAATTGAGATGATCAGAGCAATCTTTCTGGTCTAAATCATATACACAGACCTAAAAAACAAAAAAAAACACACACATCATCGAAAATATATTAACATTTTTTGAAAAGTAAAATTAATTCGTAATATTATTCACTGTGTTGTGTTTTTAAAACGAATTTTATTTAGTAAAAAATGAAATTAATTAATTAAATTACATTATTTCATAGTCCAGTTGATACAAAACTAGTTTAATAGAAATCCTAATTTTGTAAACAATTTTAAAGAATTTTAAATTTTTACAACTTTTAATAACATAAATTTAATTGATTAAAATTATATAATAAATAATAATAATATAGAATTCGTATTGGACATGAAAAAAAAATTAAATACCTATTTTCGTTATATGCATTTGAAAAATGTGTTTAATTTATATGCACCTATCACTTTGTGATTTTACTTCGTTAGGTTAATAGTGAACTAAAACTTATTGCCACATTGAAAACTATAGAAGTAAATTTTATTTTTCAAAAATGTACATTGCATATAGAAAATTCGCTTGTTTGGTATAAAAAAAAAAAAAAAATTGAAAAATAAATAAATCAACAAAACACCGCAACATCGGTTTTTGTAGTTCTTATATGGATACTCCGATTGGAGTTGTTCATTAGACTTGACACCAGCTGAGCTCATTAAAAACGAAGGAGATATTATCAAGAAAAAACACAATCTAATTTCAATGACGAGACTTTTGCATATTAATTAAACCCTATGCGTGATAAGAATGAAAATATTGTATAGACATTAGGAAAATTTGGGTCTTATTACTCGACGATGTACTCCTCACACACAAACATATACATGCATGCACATACAAACATACACGCACTTAATTGTGTTCTAGTTGAAATTCAGTGTACGCAACTCATCTAACGAACAAGGCAGCTAAATTTTAATTGCGAAACATTATTATGTTATCGAATTAGGGCACCACACACGTCATACATCTGTGGTCCTGCTTTCTGTTCCTGCACTCCAACGAATCCCTAGTCTGGTGAACATCATCAATTACGCATTTACATACAGGGTCGAGTCATCGCCACACTGGTGTACGGCTCGTGTAGATACAATTGTATTAAACCAATGTCAGTTTTCGAAAATTCTCTGACCATAACCAGCAACAACAACAACAGCCACAACGGCTATGACTATATCACCACTAACACTCGTAAAATTCCCACTGCTACTACTACCACTATCACTGAACTCATCTACAACGGTATATACACTTACTCTGTTCTGTGTATGCGCCTGCATTCATACTATTTTTACACGACCGTGGGTCAAGGCAAAGCAATCGGATCAAGATAACAGTTTTTATGATAATAATATTGTCTGTAACTATTGTTGTTCTCGACGTACGAGATAATTGTCTTTATTTCCATTCGGAGACGTTTCCCACTAAGAGTCGGTGCCCGGACCAACGGATTAATTATTATCAAAATGTTCTGTTATTAAAAGGTAACATATTTTTATTATAAGTCTTTATCAAATCATAGCTTAACATTTGGACGACCACGTAGGTATGTAAATCACAGTGCATTGCCACACTGGAACGTTTCCGTCATGACAATAAGTATCTAACCCGGTCTAATATAATATAATAAGTAAGTTTGGTGAAACGTCCGGTATCTATAATTATCTACGTTTGAATATTGTACGTGATTTTATGCGCGTTTTCAATCCCTATGGATTTAATATTAACTAGGCTGTGTCAAATAATGAAATAAATCACGATGACGGATCACTTGGAAGTACGAAAAGTTCGGTCGGAAGTGTTTGTTTTAATTCCACGGTCTCGCTAAGGTATTGTTGTGCTATCCCGTCGCTTTTCTCGAAACATATTATACAGCCGTTAAAGGGGAGAAAAAGGAGAATAGTGGTTATGATCTCTACGGTTTTGGATTCATGCAATTCGATTATTGATAAAGATGTATAATATTATTATCTCATCTCCCTCTTCGAAAAAACCCCCCTTGCTTTTAAATAGCGTCCGGTGTGATGATCCAAAGCCTCGCGTTTTACGCGTTACACGAATAGAACGTGTTTGTGTACGTATCCACGAGTGATTCGTTTTGTTCGAACGTGATGTTTTATGTGAAACTTTATCTCTGCTACCCCTCGAAAACCTTCCACCAAGGTCGCCCCCCTCGCGGAAGTCGTGGGTTTCAAAATGTGAGCTTATCGCTTGGTAACGACCAGATGGTCTTTCGGCAGGAGCTAATTGTCAATAACGATTGATCTATATATATACGTACGTACGCAGCATCGGTACTGCGCATTACGGATTCACCCCTTGTTTTATGGCATTGGCGGTGACGGTACCCTTTGGGACGGCTGAAATATGATAATTGAACAACCCCTGTCCCGTATTTACTCCAAATCCACCCCCACGCCGTTCTGTAATACG